ATCATCCAGTAAGACAAACACATACACAGAAGCACTTCCCCCATCATTTTCTAGTAAAGTCAATAAGATCATTTTTCCCCCTCTCTCTAAAAAGAATCCAGCCAGTTTATTGAAAGAAATCCCAATTTAAATGACCATCATGGGCATAGTAAATGCTGTGGTTATCAGTCTTCAGGAATATAGTTATTTTTATACCCTAGAAATACATATGTATTTTTTTTCTAGAAAGCCTGGTTTTAATCTATTAATACTATACCTTAAATGTGTTGAAAAACTGTTTCAAGTGATACTGGAATATACAAAATATTTGCAAAGCTCTCTTTGAACACAAGACCTTACGGAAAAGTAGTCTTTCATGGGTGTACAAAGAATGCGGAGAACCACCAATGAGTTGTAAAAGTATCGAAAACTCACCACTTCAAGATGCATATTCTTAAAAATTAATACAAACATTGAAAAAATGATGATAATAAAGAATCTATACAATCAAAATGACTAAAACATAATTTAAAAATAAAAATAGTAAAGCCAATTAGAAATGCGCCCACTTTGGTTGTCTTTATCAAAAGCAAAAATGATAAAAAAAAGAAAAAAGAAAAAGAAGCAGCAAACTTCCGGTGTTCCTTGATACTCAGAGAGGACATTCATTTCCATTTCAAAATAAAACATATATAAAAAATTGAATCACGCTTATTATGAGGAAAACTGTAAATGCGCCCAATAAAAGCCAGAAAGGTCAGATCCTATGTTTCATGCCTTGTTCTAATAACTCCCTTCAGTGTGGGTTAGCATAAGTTACATTTTCTAACCAGACAATCCTCATGAAAATGACTGCTATATTCGTCTCTATGTAAGGTATTCTTTTTAGTAGTTTTCAATACAAAGACTAACTGATGCTGGGAGCACCCTGTGTCTTTAAGGCAGTACCAGGGAATCAATGCATTTATAACGTGTGAAGGGCTTGGATGTCTTTTCCACTTTTTTCTTCATCGTCATCTTCTTTGTTTTCTTCTTTTGGTTGCTTTACATTCATGTAATTTAACTTTACATGTTAATTTCCAGGGAGGTCACATACAGACAAAGCTCACACCAAGTTTAGTTTTCCCCGGAATGAAAACGGACAGACACTTCTCTGAAGCAAATGTCTCCTGCTCAGAAAGCTCACACTTCGAGAAATCAGTTCACAGATACTGCACGCTGATGGTACAATACTTTGGAGGACTTTTTAGTTGTAAAATAGAATATACAAGTCTGGCTCACAAAATTCTAAAAATAAAATATATCCTGGGCTACTGATAAAGCACGGAAAATTCATATTATAGGAAAATTATCAAAAAAACCTCTTCAGGTAAATTATGAAGTCTCCCGAAGAAGAGAGGAAGCAGTTTCTGCTGCACTCATACTGCTCCTCCGGCTGCTTGTTTTAGAAGCTCCTGGGGACACTGATGATAGCAGTGGATCAGTGACGCCAACAGGAGAGAGGGCATCCTCCATCAGGATGCCTTCCAAGTTGGAGCCCATCTTCCTGGGGATGCTATAGGCGGGGTTGTTCTCCGGCATAGTGCGGAGGTTGTTGGTGAAGGTGATGGTACCGTCTGTGAGATCCAGCGTTGTTGTACACGTCAGGTCTGTCTGGTGCTACACAAGTTCCTGGCTGCAGTTCTCAAGAACTGGTTCTTGTTTGACGATCCCGCTCACCAGATCAGGGGAGCAGAGGCCGGTGGATGGGATAAAGGAAAGTCCATGTGCTCTAGCCTGCATCTCAAGCTCCTGTACTCTGAGCAGCAGATGTCGGTTAGCGTGTTCCAGCTTCTTCTGTCTTTTTTCAAGATCCTTTGCACGCTGCTGTTCCCGTTGCAACTTTCGGATGTAGTCCACGGAGGCCTTTAGAATGGTTCCTTTGTTCCACCGCATGTCCGGATCATTTGACTTGGGAATCAAAGTACCTAGTTCTTTAATGCGGTCATTTATGTTAAATCTTCTTCTCCGTTCAATCAAGTTGTGATTGTCCTTTTTTTTGCCTCTCTTTAGCCAATGCTCTTGCTTCAGACTCTGTGGGGAAAATACACGCTGTGAGCTCCCTTTTTATGTTGGGAAGGGAAGGTTGGCTGGACAAGAGTTGCTGATGGTGAGGCCCGGGGGGGAGGGGGGTGGCAGGCCCTGGTTGCTGTATAGGTCGATCAAGTTTCCGGAGACAGGTAACGTGTTTGCCATTTGCAAGGCCTGATACATCAAGCCCAAGATTTCTTCATTATAACTTGATTCCAGACTGATGATGTCATCAATTACATCATCCATCTGCATGCACGAGAGTGTGTGTTCATACCTGGGCACTCACTCTCTGCCCTGCTCTGCTCTTCAAACTTATAGAATGCCTCTTTTTCACAGTTGGAGTTAAGAGTGAGCATGGCCATGGGGCTGTTGGGTGCGCTGCTCCCCGGCACTGGTGGCATGGCGTGGTCGCCAGGCTGGTTTGGACATGGCGAGCTCAGGACTTGGCTGGCATGTTTATTTGCTAAAGTGGTAGAAAGGTACTGCTTTACCTGGTGCCTCTGGGCTTGCTGTATGTGGTACTTGGTGGGGTTTTCCAGGTGGGTCTGCACCTGAGCATGGCCATGGAGGGAAGAGAAAATAGCAGTGTTATTCTGGGGTTTTAAACAGCTCTTCCTGTAGTACACATTATATAGCCTTTATTTTATTTTTATATTTTTATTTTTAGAAACAATCTTATTTTACATATCAATCCCAGCTCCCTCTCCCTCTCATCCTCCCATGTCCCCCACCAACCCCCCATCCCATCCCCATCCACTCCCCAGGGAGAGTGAGGCCTCCCATGGGGGAAATATTAAGGTCTGTCATACCATTTGGGGCAAGACCAAGGCACTCCCCTATGTGTCTAGTCTGAAAGAATATCCCTCCATAGGGAATGGGCTTGCAAAGCCAGTTCATGCACAAGGGATAAATACTGGTTCCACCACCAGAGGCCCCATAGACTGCCCAGGCCTCCTAACTGACACCTACATGCAGGGGGCCTGGCTCAGTCCTATGTTGGTTTCCCAGCTGTCAGTCTGGGGTCCATGAGCTCCCACTTGCTCAGGTCAGCTGTTTCTGTGAGTTTCTCCAGCATGGTCTTGACCCCTTTGCTCATCACTCCGCCCTCTCTACAACTGGATTCTAGGAGTTTGGCTCAGTTTTTATCTGTGGATCTCTGCTTCTGCTTCTATCAGCCACTGGATGAAGGCTCTAGGATGACATTTAAGGTAGTCATCAATCTCAATATAGAGGAAGTGTATTTAAGGTAGCCTCTTCACTATTGCTTAGATTGTTAGTTGGGGTCATCCTTGTGATCTCTGGATGTTTCCCTGGTGCCATACTTCTCTTTAAACCTATAATTATGGTATCCCTCTATTATGGTATCTCTTTTCTTGCTCTCCTCTATTCTTCCCCCAACTCAATCTTCCTGATCCTTCATGTTCTCCTTCCCCCTCCTCTTCCTCCTCCCTCCCTCCCCCCTCCACTTGTGCTCCCAATTTGTTCAGGAGATCTTGTCTCTTTCCTCTTCTCTGGGGGACCATGTATGTTTCTCTTAGGGTCCTCATTGTTGCCTAGCTTCTCTGGTGATATGAATTGTAGGCTGGTAGTCCTTTGCTCTATGTCTAATATCCATATGAGGTTAAGTACATACCATCTTTGTCTTTCTGTGACTGGATTACCTCACTCAAGATGGTTTCTTCTAGTTCCATCCATTTGCCTGTGAATTTCAAGATTCCATTGGGTTCTCCCCTCCCCCTTTCCCCTCACTGAGTAGTTCTCCATTGTGTAAATGTACCACATTTTCTTTATCCATTATTCAGTTGAGGGGCATCTAGGTTTCTTCCAGATTCAGGTGAGGGCATCTAGGTTGCTTCCAGGTTCTGGCTATTACAAATAATGCTGCTATGAACATAGTTGAACAGAAGTCCTTGTATGAATTTGCATCCTTTGGGTGTATGCCTAAGAGTGGAATTTCTGGGTCTTGAGATAGACCAATTCCCATTTTCCTGAGAAATCACCACACTGATTTCCAAAGTGGCTGTACAAGTTAGTACTCCCACCAGCAGTGGAGGAGTGTTCCCCTTTGTCCACATCCTCTTCAGCATAAACTGTCAGTGTTTTTTATTTTAGCCATTCTGCCAGGTGTAAGATGGTATCTCAGAGTTGTTTTGATTTGCATTTCCCTGATGGCTAAGGATATAGAGCAATTCCTTAAGTGACTTTTGGCTGTTTGAGATTCATCTCTTGAGAATTCTCTATTAGGTCTATACCTCATTTTTTAATCAGATTATTTGGTATTTTGGTGTCTATTTTCTTGAGGGTTTTTTGTATATTTTGGATATCAGCACTCTGAAATATGTGGGATTAGTGAAGATCTTTTCCCATTCTGTAGGCTGCTGGTTTGTCTTATTGACAGTGTCCTTTGCCTTATAGAAGCTTCCCTGTTTCAGGTAATCCCATTTATTCATTGTTGATCTCGGTGTCTGTGCTACTGGAGGCCTGGCATGAGGTCATCTATCGCCCTACAGAAATATAGAACCTCTTCTCCTTTAGGAATTTTCTTGCCTCTTTCATGTTGACCTTCCTAGTTTCATACCCTATACCCATAACACACACACACACACACACACACACACACACACACAGAGAGAGAGAGAGAGAGAGAGAGAGAGAGGGAGAGAGAGAGAGAGCCCCATAAATGCTAAAATCTAAGAACGTCACATAAGAGAAAATGTGGCATTTATCTTTCTGAGTAGGGGTTATGTTATACGTGGCTTTATACTTTGAGCTTGTCAAAAACTACTATCAAATAAAACAGAAATTTCCAAAGCAAAGTAAGTTACCAACATCCATAAGTTAAAATGTACTGCACTTTGACTCTCATGATTAATGCAAGATGCTAAGTCACAAGTACAATGAGCTCAAGTTTGCCCAATTTTTATATGAATTATGTTTTATGCTTCAAGGGCAAGAGCAGTCGGAGTCATTGGACTTACTGCTAATATGGGGGCATCCCTGTCTCCCATTTTAATAACCCTCACCATGTACTCTACCTCCTTACCCTGGATCATCTATGGAGTACTCTCCATAACTAGTGGCCTTATTTGTCTTTTCCTTCCTGAGACCAAGAATAAGCCTCTGCCCGACTACATCCATGATGTGGAAAATGAGTGAGTAACACCTCTACCTCTTGCTTAGGGGAACTTGTGTGTCAATGGTCTATAATGTAGAATGCAAAATATGATTCAGACCATCTCTCTTCCAAGCAGTCAGACATCTAGACTTTTTCCCATTTGGTCATTGCATTTGCCATATGAGTCTTTCCTATATACCTTTATAAAGGAGATTCAAATGGGCTTTGATTTCTCTAGACACAAAGACAAGCCCTATGAGGATGCACTAGATTTTTTGATAAATAGATAAAATTATGCCTTCTGCCCAATAGTTCTTTGTTATAAGACACATGAAGTGTATGTGTTAATGTGTTACATGTCAACTCTTATACTCACAACTTTGTTCCATTTTGAGGATTCTGTAAATTAACTAGGACCTGGGATGGAAGCCAAGTGCCAGTGAGATTCCTGTCTCTTCCTTCCACAGTACTGAGAGGTTAGGAAACTCAGACCATCTCAGTTTTACAAAGGATGAAACGTTCACATAGAAAAGATAACATAGTCAATAATGAGATCATGGAACAGAAAAGAATGGGGATGATATTTAAATTTTGATATATTTCCTGTATTAGTTTATCTTCAAACCTCCTTGGAGAATGCTATGACCACCAAAATATAAGCATCAAAGTAGACTCACAGAGGAGTTGGTTTTTAGTGCTTCAGATTTGCTCAAATCCTTTAGTAGGAATCTTAGATTTTACAAAAGCTGATGAGTGAAGGATAAGTTTGCTCTTATGAATTCAAGTGATGCTTTTATTCTCTGTTCCCTTTCAGGTTCATTTACATGTTGATGGTATTTGTTGTGTTCTAGGTTGAAAGGTTCAAGACAAACAAAGGAAGAAGTTGCCATCATCAAAGTGACACGGTTTTAAGGAACCCTAGGAATTGGGTGGGGTATAGGTGGGGCAACCAAACTAAAGATAATGGGAAGGAGAACGGCAAGGTCAGGAGTCACCAGTCGGACACAGAGGGAGCAGGAGTTGAATATGCCATGCTAATAAAGGTACCACCATGTAGAATAGCATAAATAAGGAATATGGGTTAACTTGAAATGTAAGAGCTAATTAATATTAAGCCTGAGCTATTAGCCAATCATTTACAATTAAAAAAATGTGTCCTTATTTTGAATGCTATTTAAATGGTAATAATTTTAACGTAAATTACATGTCCCTTAATCAATTTAGAAGTCTTAAAAGAATAAAGAATTCTATTTTTTCTAAGAACATTGTAAAAATGGCAATGTTTTGGTCTGAGAAATAAATCATGTTTGATTTAAAAAAAAAAAAAACATGTCACACAAAATGTTGTATTCCAGGATAATTTCCCTCTGCTCCAATACCTTCCATTTCCACTGAAGTAAACAGAGTCAGACGTCCTGGCAATCATTCTTGATCTATCCATGGGTACAGACAACAGATGTCAGAAGGAAATGTAGGACTTTGAGTTTGTCAGAAAACTGGGGATATAGTAGAAAAGGGGACACAGGCATAAAAGGGTAGCACCCCTAAGTCTATGCCTGCCCCACTCCCAAGAGGGTGTAGGGCCTCTGACAACAGAAAGACAGAGGACAGAACTGACTGTAAGTGGACACTCATATGGGACCAAGAATGGCCAAGGAAGTGTGGGTGCTGTGGGGAATGGGAGTCTCCATCAGAAGGGATTGTGGTGGCTACAGAGGAAGATGGAGAGGAAGTAAGAGGTATAGATCCTTGGTTGGGAGACCACTAATGACTGTTTTTAATTCCTAGGGGATTACAGGTCTGTAATCTGATTGTTTATCTGATCATGGTTTATCTGATCATGGTTTAATTTTGGTATGTGATATCAAGAAATTAATCCATTTCTTTTAGGTTTTCCAAATGAGTGGAGTATAGGTTTCTGAATTATGACCTCATGATTGTCTGGATTTCCTCAGTGTCTGTTGTTATATCCCCTGTTTCCTTTCAGATTTCGTTAATTTGGACATTCTCTCTACCTTTTAGTTCGTTTGGATAAGGGCTTGTCTATCTTATCGATTTTCTCAGAGAAGTAACTCTTTGTTTCAGTGATTCTTTGTATATGTCTCTTTGTTGCTATTTTATTGATTTCAACTCTCAGTTTGATTATTTCCAGCCATCTAAACCTCTTGGGTGTCTTTGCTTCATTTTGTTCTAGAGATTTCAGGTGTTCTGTTAAGTCATTAGTATGAAATTTCTCCAAATTCTTTATGAAGGCACTCAGTGCTATGAACTTTCCTCTCAATACTGCTTTCAGGAGTTTGGGTACATTTTGCATTCATTTTCATTAAATTCTAGGGAGCCTTTAATTTCTTTATTTCTTTCTTGACCCTGTGGTAATTAAATGAGAGTTGTTCAGTTTCCATGAGTTTGTAGGTGTGACGGCTGCGCCATGAGCAAGTCCAAGGTATTGATTTTGCTAAGAGAATGTGTGTGTGTGCCTGTCTTTTATTTCAGGGAGGGAGCAGCCTTATATACAGACTTACAGCACAGTGGACAAACCCCAGGTGTAAGAGCTCGTGTTTTTGGTGGCAGTGGGGCAAGGCCCGGGCTGTAATCCAGGACTAGAAAACAAGATGCATCTGTGGTTATCAACACGCTATGGGGACTGGGGCCCAACATCTCTCCCAATATGTAGGCTCTCTGTAGTTTGCATTGTTGTTGACCTCCAACTTTAATCCATGATAATCTGATAAGATACAGGAAGTTATTGCAAATTTTTTGTATATGTTAAGACTTGCTTTGTGACTGAGTATGTGGACAATTTTGGAGAAGATTCCAAGAGGTGCTGATGAGAAGGTATATTCTTTGGTGTTTGGATGAAGCACTAGGTAGATATCTATTAGGTACATTTGAGATCTAATATCTGTTTGTTCTGTTATTTTTCTGTTTAGTTTAGATGACTCGTCCATTGGTGTGAGTGGGGTGGATAGATATTTATTAAATTTCACTTTGTCATGAAATAACTTGTTTTCACCATCATATGTCTTTAACATATATTGAAGGGATAATATTTTGGATTTTGAAATTTGTTGTTAGAAGGAAGCTTATGTGACTTGGTGAAGTAGAAAGTGAATGGAATCTACCCAGAAGTATTGCAAATGAAGAGATGACCGCATGTAAGGCCTTGCACAGTTCTCGACTTTTGGGGACAAGTGAGAATTCAAGTGAGAGCAGGTGACCCCAGGGGTGGTTTTATATGGATGGAAACTTCCTATCCCAGAGTGGAAAGGGTAAAATATGTATTTTGCAGACAAAAAGACAAAGCAAACTAAAGGAACAATGGGCATACAGAGGGTGCTACTAAGCAGTGCAGTCTGAGAAACTTGGTCAAAGGCCAGTGATAGCTCTCTCATTAAATCTCAGTGCAAGATCAGCCAAATACCCCTCTCCAGAAACAAACCAAACCAAACCAACTAACCAACCAACCAAACAACAACCCCAAAAAACAACAACAACAACAACAAAACACTAGCAAAACCAAAAGAATCAATTAAATATCCCCCTTGGTAAAACTTGCCTGTTGTGTCTTCAATCACTTTCAATGTTGTCTGGCTATTTGTTCAAACAAAACTGAAACCAGATCTCTCTTGAGAGCAGAACTAGAAAATCTCATCCCTCTGTATGCCTGTCCCAGTTAAACACACAGACTGCTGGAGACATATTCTTTCCAGTCTAGAAGAGGCCTCCCCCGAAAAGGCTTACCCTTCTGGTCCAGAAGAAGGCTCCCCACAGGGCTTGTCTTAACAAGGGGACTGCTGGAGACATATTCTTTCCAGTCTAGAAGAGGCCTCCCCCAAAAAGGCTTACCCTTCTGGTCCAGAAGAAGGCTCCCCACAGGGCTTGTCTTCCTCAACTGGAACCGAACTGAACTTAGTACTGACTTACCTCCTAGGAGTGTCACAAGGACCCAATCTGTTTCGTTGTATGGGAACATTGAAGTCATTCCAGACTGCTCTAGACTTAGTGAGAAGAGCAGAATGCTGTAAGGTTTGTCAGGGGTATTTCTGCTGAAACCCTCTCTCTGGCTAGAAAGGCTGAGTTCTTCAAGGCATGGGGATCTCACTGGTGGCCTCCAAATAAAATGACCCAAGGGAGATAGCAACAGACAGCCATGCTAATAAAGTTCAGTAAAATAATCTTTTAATACATGTCCGCAAAGCTGAAGGGTATGTCATTTTTGAAGACAAAAATGTTCTCAGTTTCTGACCCCCTAGGAAAAGACCATAGATTCATTATAACTATAATTATAATAATGTATTGATTACTACTAACAGGACAGGAATCTCTGAGCCACATTTGAGATTGCCGTGAGCACGGGGCTGAGGGAAGGATTTTAAAGGCAAAAATCACAAGAAGACCTTGAGTAACAGCACCGGAAAAGCAAGAAGTGTTTGATCTGCCAAGGTTACAAATGAAGGCGAAATGAAGGTCTGAAAACCAGGTTACAGAAGCCAAAAAAGCATCTAGTCATAACAATAATTAGATGGTTATAGCTGTACAGTTTTGGGGTGGGGGTGCATAAATTCAAGGTTACTGGGAACTTATCTTCCAGGGACTGGAGTCTGAAACAAACGGCTAATGGGTACCAAGCTATCATAAATGGAAGGATTTTGTTGTGTTATGGTGTCAACTCCAGGAACTAGCACCACCGAGATGTTTCAAGGCAAACATTTGTTTATGGCCGAGGCAAATTTCCAGTCTCCCATGGTAGTGAATTAAAAATGGCAGTCAACCAAAGTCAGGGAACCACTTTATAGCAAGCAAGCACATTAAAAGTGGAATTTTGCAGTAATTTTTGTGATCATGGGAAAGGTAAACATTATAGGTTTGCGGTCAGACAGTTAACGTACCATGAAGGATTTTATGACAAATTGATTCTCAAGACAATGGAAACAATTTGCAATGTGTAATTCACAATGTCATCGAGGAATAACAAATCAAAAAGCTGAGCATCAGTTTAACCTGTGGCTCCTGGGAAGATGACAGCAGACACCATAGAGAACAATACAGAAATACAGAAAACCTTAAAGGAGAAATGGAGTCAACTGTTCTTCAATGTTCCCCTCTCCTGTTAGAGAGATCACTAAATCCTTAGAGGTCATCAACTCCAATGGGAATAGGTCACAGGTGTCCATAATGTCTCCTCAGGACCATTAGTTTCATGGTACTGAGTCACTGATTTACAAATTTTATAATTGCATTCAGAACTCATGACTCACAAGTGAGAGTGAGTCAAATAATTAGGGACCTACTAAGGTGTTAAGTGAGATACTTAACCACAGGGACCACATGACTCACAAGTGAGAGTGAGTCAAATAAGTAATTAGGGACCTACTAAGGTGTTAAGTGAGATACTTAACCACAGGGACCAGAAAAATAGGGACTCATACCAATTTTGACTGTTTGAATGTAATTGTTCTCTTTCCTTAATTTTTTGTTTAACTAGACTCAAGCTTTCTCTGACTATTCCCAAGTTATTGGCCCAAAAACATGTTCTCTGAGTGCCCCCTTTTGCATGAAGTCAGGAGGTCAAGTCACCATCTGTTCTGTGGTATGACCTCTGCCAGGGGGTCTAGAGAGAAGTCAGGTAGCTGATGAGAATTTTCAATTCAGATAGATCTTGATCCATACATTGACTCAAGAGCTTAAAGTTTTGACTATCATAGACAAGTGCAGCGGTTCCCTGTTGTACCGAGTCTGCTGTCCCCACCCTTATTACTAGGGGAACCAACAAGTTCAGTGAGAAAGTTCTAAAGGCGCTGCTCCGTCTCCTCCTGAATAGTAACACACTTGAGGAGTCAAATGAACTAGAATGCAGAAATCACAAGTCTTGGTAAGAATGAAGGAATCTAATGACCATCAGCTTAGTGGTA